ATCATCAGCAGCGTCAGCATCAGCATCAGCAGCAGCATCAGCATCAACATCATCAGCATCATCATCATCACCACAATCACCATCACACTTATCATACTCATCATCATACTCAGCATCAGCATGAGCATCATCATCCTTATCATCATCACCAACAACAGCACCATAACCAGCATCACCGTCGGCAGCGTCGTCGTCATCATCCTCACCACCACCATCACCTTCAACACAACACTTGTCATTATCATCAGCATCATCAGCATCAGCAGCAGCATCACCATCACCATCACCAGCATCATCACCACCATCATCATTATTATCCTTTGTACCATCATGATCACAAGTATCAACATTTTCAGCATCATCATCATAAACATCGCCATCACCATCAACACCACCATGATCACCATTGTCATCACCATAACCATCGCCATCACAATTACCATCTTCATCATCAGCATCAACACCAGCGCCACCATCGTCGACATCACCATCAACACCATCATCAGCAGTATCACCATAGTAATCATCATCACCACCATCATCACCACCATCACCATTACCACCACTATCATCATCATCATCATCATCATCATCATCATCATCATCATCATCAGCATCAGCATCAGCATCAGCATCAGCATCATCATCATCATCATCATCATCATCATCATCATCAGCATCATCATCATCATCATCCCCATCATCGTCATCATCATCGTCAATACCACTACCAGCATGACCAGCATCATCACTATCACCTTGGCGCATCCCTCACACGTTTCGTGTCCCCGTGGGGAGCTCCAACGAAGGTCCCAGTGGCAGGGTCCACATGCGTCTTCCCTGACCCAGTACAGCGCTTCGTGGCCCCACTGGAAGCTGTACCGAAGGCCCAAATGGCAGGGTCCACATGCGCCCCCCCACCCAGTGAAGCTTTCCGTGGCCCCACTGGGAGCTCCAGCGAAGGCCCCACTGGCAGGGTCCACGTGCGTCTCCCCCACGCAGCACAGCAGTTCGTGTCCCATCGGGAGCTCCACCGAAGGTCTAAGTGGCAAGGTCCACATGCGTCTCCCCCACCCAGTACAGCGCTTCGTGGTCAGCGAAGGCCCCAGCGGCAGGATGCACACGCGTCCCCCTCACCCAGTACAGCGTGACAAGACCCATGGGGAGCTCCACCAAAGGCCCCACATCGCCCTCACCCAGCACAACTCTTCGTGGCCCATCGGGAGCTCCACCGAAGGCCGAAGTGGCAGGGTCCACATGCGTCTCCCTCACCCATGGCAATGTTTCGAGACCCTCATGGAGCTCCAACGGAGGTCCCACTGGCAGGGTCCACATGCGTCTCCCCACCCAGTACAACGTTTCGCGGCCCATAGGAAGCTCCACTGAAAGCCTCATTGAATGCGTCTCCCACCCAGTACACGTTTCGTGCCCCCCATGGGGAGCTCCAACGGAGGTCCCAGTGGCAGGGTCCACATGCGCCCCCCCCATCCAATACAACGTTTCGTGGCCCCATGCGGAGCTCCGCTTAAGGCCGCAGTGGCCGCGGCCGCATGCGTCTTCACCATCCAATACAGCGTCTCGTAGCCCCATAGGGAGCTCCACCGAAGGCCTAAATGGCCGCGGCCGCATGTTTCCCCTCACCCAGTAACAGGTTCCGTGGCACCCTAGGGCGCTCCACTGAAGGCTTCAATGGCCGTGGCCGCGTGCACCCAAGGCTTCTTTGAGGACTTTCGCATGTGGACCCTAGGCCCATTTCGGCGCACCCCTCACACGTTTCGTGGCCTCACAGGGACCTCCACCTAGGGCCCAAATCGCACAGTCCGCATGTGCAAGAAGCAACCACAGCGCGGTATTCACAACTGCATATGGCGAGGACCTTCGCCAAGATAGTTTCACGACGCGAGGCGGTCTGGGCCTGGAGTTCGAAAAACGACCCCCAGGCCTCTCCTGGCGACGAGAAGCCCCCTGGATCCTCGAAATTCGAAGTCCGAAGTTTATGTTGTTTCACGTTGCGAGGGCCCCTCGTGACTCCCCGTCAGGCGCTGCCCGACGGCGCGGCGCGGCGCCGAAGACGCTTCCCCAGGGTCCGGCGCCTGCGGACCGTGTGCTGCTCGCGGGCGCCCGAGAAACCGATGGGGGAGGCACTGACTGGGGTCAATGCAAACCGAGTCAGTCGGGTTTTGCAAGATCCTGCAAAATCCTGCAGGATCTTGCGCGCTAGTCCTAACCGTCCGAAAGCACCCGAACCCACGCTTGTGCTCGAGCGCCGGACATCCAGCGATGAGTTGTTCTCAACCATCCTGTGGTGTTCGGTCCTCGTTTTTTTGTAAAAGAATGTTTTAAAAGAAAGTCCTGCGTCTCCTTCCTTCCTCTCCCCTGCCTCGCTACTCACCCTCCTCCTCTATCATGATGATTTCGGCACACCCCTCACACGTCTCGTGCCCCCACAGGAAGCTCCACGGAAGGCCCCAGCGGCAGGGTCCACATGCGTCTCCCCCTGACCCAGTACAACGTTTTAGTGGCAGGGTCCACGTGCGTCTCTACCTCACCCAGTACAACGTTTCGCGGCCCGTCTGGGAGGTCCACCGAAGGCCCCACTGGCAGGGTCCACATGCGTCTCCCTGACCCAGTACAACGCTCAACGCTTCGTGGCCCACAGGGAACTTGACCGAAGGCCCCAGTGGCAGGGTCCACATGCGTTTCCCCCACCCAGTACAGCGTTTCGTGGCCAACAAGGAGCTCCAACGAAGGCCCCATGGGTGCACATGCGTCTCCCTGACCCAGTACAGCGCTTCGTGGCCCACGGGAAGCTCCACCGAAAGCCCCACTGGCAGGGTCCACATGCGTCTCCATGACCCAGTAACTTACAGCGCTTCGCGGCCCATAGGGAGCTCCACCGAAGGCCCCACTGGCAGGGTCCACTTGCGCCCCCCCCGCCCAATACAGCGTTTCGTGGCCAACAAGGAGCTCCAACGAAGGCCCCATGGGTCCACATGCGTCTCCCTGACCCAGTACAGCGCTTCGTGGCCCACAGGGAGCTCCACCGAGGGCCCCAACGACAGGGTCCACATGCGTATCCCTGACCCAGTACGGCGCTTCGTGGTCCAAAGGGAGCTCCACCGAAGGCCCCAGTGGCAGGGTCCACGTGCGCCCCCCCACGCAGTACAGCGTTTCGTTGCCAACAGGGAGCTCCACCCAGAGGCCCTGCGGCAGGGTCCCCATGCGTCTCCCCCACCCAGTGCAGCGCTTCTTAGCCTACAGGGAGCTCCACCGAAGGTCCCAGTGGCAGGGTCCACATGCGTCTCTCCCACCCAGTGAGGCGTTCCGTGGCCCCACAGGGAGCTCCACCGAAGGCTCCAGTGGCAGGGTCCCCATGCGTGTCCCCCACCCAGGACAGCGCTTCGTGGCCCCAGAGGGAGCTCCACTGAAATCCACTGAAGGCCCCCCCAGTGGCAGGGTCCACATGCGTCTCCCCCACCGAATATAATTTTTCGTGGCCCCAAACGAAGCTCAGTGGCAGCCGCCACATGCGCCACCCAAATCCATCACATGGCTTCGTAGCCCCATGGGGAGCTCCACCGATGGCGCCAATGGCCGCGGCCGCATGCTTCGCTTCCCTTTTCCACAGTACAGCGCTCCGTGGCCCCATGGGGAGCTCCACTGAAGGCTCCAGTGGCCGTGACCGCGTGCACTGGCTTCTGTGGCGACGTTCGCATGCGGACACCGGGCCAAATTCGGCGCAGCCCTCACACGTTTCGAGGCCTCACACGGACCTCCACCTCAGGCCCAAATCGCACAATTCGCATGCGCTCCACACTACCACCATTACGGCACACCCCTGACGCGTTTCGCTGCCCCATAGGGAGCTCCACCAAAACCGGTAACCACAGTGTGGTATGCATAACTGCATATGGTTGGATCCTTCGTCAATCTATTCTCTAATGCGCGGCCCCACCGAGATCTCCGACGATATGATGTTTGTCCATGCGGGCATTTGGGCTAGACTTCGACCTCCAGTCCAGGCCTGGATTCTGAGGTCTGGGGCACTGAAGACTGGATCTTTTTTCTTAGAAAGGGTCGGGACCCCTGGGGCCGCGCATCGACAAAAATCAGATCGGCGGAGGTCTGGGCAAAGATCCCGAGCCCTTCCCCGCGGTAGGTTTTTGTCCCGTAAATCTGCTAGCCC